AATAGGAAGAAAATATGGATTATGAACCTATTACATGGAAGCATTGGCTGGCTAAGTTAATTTCACAGCTTTGAGGTGGGTGCTATGTGTTTTAACATGAAAATGTTCCACAAGAAGGAAGAGTGAGAGAAAGAGAGAGACAGAGAGAGAGAGAGAGAGACTGTTGATGTTTGTAACATGCACAGGGTCACACAGCTAGTAGATCAAGTAGTGGAGGGGGAGGATAATACAGATGACATTCGAAAGGAAGCAATGAGGTGAGGACTCAGGGATTCCAGACCATATTTTTAACACACTTGGACTGGTTCCAGGCCTAGTAACACAGGTGAGTCACTTTGCTCATGACTTCTTTCTTTCTGCCAGGTCTAACAGAAGAGAAAAACCAGATGGCAGTGATATACTTTCACTTCTGCCCCTTTTCAACATACCTGATACTGGCTTCCCTCATATTTGTGGCCTTCTTACTGTCACACTGGAAGTTCTGAGGGTGTAGTGCCCTAGACATTTGACTGCTAACTGGAAGGCTAGAGGTTCAAACCCACCAGCCACTCCTCAGAAAGAAGATTCGGCAATCTACTTCCATAGAGATACCTCCTTAGAAACCCAAACAGGGGTTGCTATGAGTTGGATCCGACTCGCTGGCACTGAGTTTTTTTTTTTTTTTTTTTTTTTTGCTGTTGTACCTGGGAAGCATGGTTGGAAACATTATCAGTGGGCACACAGTCTGGGGAGGTCATTCCCTCCATAACCTAATGTACGTGTTCCTTTTTGTGTTGGCCCATCTGGAGGTTGGCTGCTCCACAAACATGGCTGTACTGACCCTGGCTTTCTATGAGGAAGATGCTTATCTCTCTCCCTGGATAAAGTATAAAAATGTAACTAGCACAATACACATCATTAAGTTACAAAAAAAGGGAGTGAGTTGAATTTAAGTCAAGAAAATATTAAATAAATAGTAATACCATGTTGTTGTTGTTGTTGTTATGTGCCGTCGAGTCGGCCCCGACTCATAGCGACCCCTCCTTGGGTTTCCGAGGCAGTATCACAACGGAAGTAGGATTGCCCAACCTTCCTTCCGAGGAGTGGCTGGTGGGTTTGAACCACCAGCCTTCTGGTTAGCAGTCAAGTGCTTTAGCCACTAAGCTACCAGAGCTCCTAGTAATACCATAAGCAATAAAAATGAAAAATAATCATGAAGGTTGTTCACGGATGACTAAAGTCTGAATAAACTTTTATCTACATTTTATAATTACCTTGAGCACCGTGGTAGTTAAGGTTTTGTGTCAACTTGGCTGGGCCGTGGTTTTGAGTGGCAGAGCAGCTGGCTCTAGTTATTCTCCATGATGAGATTGTAATCACCTCCAAGGTGGAATCAGCTATGAACAGCTAAGTAGCTGCCTTTGGGGTGTGGCCTGCTTCCAGTCTTTAAGGAGAAGTTTTCAGAAATGTCTTGAGCTTTTGGCACATCCAGATCCTACATTTGGCTGAGTCTTCAGCTCAGTGGCCTGCAATGTTGCCTGTGATCTTGAGATTGTTCCTGGACTTGAACTAGGGGCCTGCCATGTTGTCTGCTACTCTTGGGACTGTGCCATTTACTTGTCAGTCTTGGGTTCATCGGCCTCAGTAGCCAGAGCTGTGTGAGTCAGAAAAAACCTCTAGCTGTAGTGGACCTGGAACAGGAGGCAGAGCTGAAGCCCAAGGTCGAGGGGCCTTCACCCCGCCCCCAGAGCTGGCACTTTGAACTCAGATTTCTGGCCTCCTAAACTGTAAGGGGATAAATCTCTGTTTGTTAAAGACATCCATTTGTGATATTTCTGTTAGAGCAGCACTAGAGGATCAAGACAATCATGACCAACAGCAGCAACTGGTATAAAATACTTGATTTATAGTGAATGTGTTGGAGTCTTGAGCAATATTTGGTGACAGAATGAATGAAGGAATAGAACATGCTACAATAAGTGAACACTAGGCATCTGTTTCAGGTTCCTGGGTGATAGAAGTCATTTGGTCTCAACTACAAATAGGAAAGTTGACAGTTCAAACCCCCCAGTTAAGCTGTGGAAGAAAGAGCTGGAGATCTGTTTCCATAAAGGTTACAGCCAGGAAAATCCTATGGAGCAGTTCTACTCTGTATCACTCGGGGCCGCCATGAATTGGAACCAACTAAATGGCAATGGTTAGGCATCTGTTCTGTGCTTAGCACCACACTAGGCAATGTAATAGGAGCTCTGGTAGCATAGTGTCTAAGGCACTTGACTGCTAACCAGAAGGTTGGCGGTTCAAACCCACTAGCCACTCCTCGGAAGGAAGATGGGGCAATCTACTTCTGTAGTGACACTGCCTCGGAAACCCAAGGAGGGGTCACTATGGGTCGGGTCCGACTCGACGGCACATAACAACAACAACAACAGGCAATGTAATACCGAGTTGAATCAGTTACTGCCATTGAGGATATATACTAGTGGGGGGTGGAGAAACAAGTAACATAATTAGCACAATGTTGTTTTTGTTGTTAGGTGCCACTGAGTTGGTTCCAAGTCATAGGGACCCTATGTATGACAGCACAAAACACTGCCCACTCATGCGCCATCCTCACTATTGGTGCTATGTTTGAACTTGTTGCAACCACTAGTTAATCCATCCTGCTGGGGGGCTTCCCTTCTTTTTCTGTGACCTTCTACGTCACTAAGCATCACATCCTTCTCCAGAGTCTGGCCCTTTGTGATTCATATGCCCAAAGTATGTGAGAAGAAGCATCACTGCTCTTGTTTCTAAGGAGCACTCTTGCTGTCCTTTGTCCAAGCCAGATTTGTTAGTTCTTCTGGCATTCCATGGTATATTCAGTATTCTTTGCTAACACCATTAATACAAAGGCTTCAGTTTTTCTTTGGTCTTCCTTATTCATTGTCCAGGTGTTGCATGCATATGATACAATTAAAAATACCATGTCTTATATGTCAGCCTCGGAAAGAAGGTTGGGAAGGTTGGGCAATCTACTTCTGTAGTGATACTGCCTCCGCAACCCAAGGAGGGGTCGCTATGAGTTGGGTCCGACTCGATGCCACATAACAACAACAACAACTTATGTCAGCCGCACTTTAGTCCTCAAGGTGACATCTTTGCTCTTAACAGTTTAAAGAGGTCTTTTACAGCAGATATGCCCAGCACAATACGTTTGATTTCTTGGCTGTTGCTTTCAAATGCATTGATTGTGGATTCAAGTAAAATTAAATCCTTGGCAACTTCAATCTTCTCTTCATTTATCATGATGTTGCTTATTGGTCCAGTTGTCAGGATTTTTGTTTTCTTTAGTGTGAGGTGTAACCCATTGTGAGGGCTGTAGTCTTTGATCTTCACCAGTAAGTGCTTCAAGTCTTCTCCTCTTTCAACAAGTAAGCTTGTGTCATTTTAATATTGGTGGTTGTAATGAGTCTTCCTCCAAAAAGAAATTATTGTCAGGCAAAATTAAAAGCTATATGAAAACTATCTGGAAGTTTTATTTTATTCCAAATTTACGAGGCTAAATAATCAAGATGAATTACTGAAAATATGTTTCACAGATCATACATAACTAAAAGTTTCCTAGGCTAAAATACTATAATGTTTATTCCTGGGTGAAGTAAACAACGGGTGCCATAACCTAACTAAGATGGAGGATATGGAAGTACAGAAAATTTGGAAGGTAATTGTTATGATGAAAAGGTTCACGTTTCATCTCCCTGAAGGACAAGTTGGTGGAGTCCTTGATTAGAGAGAGAGAACTTATAGAAGATATAAAGCCTGTTGTAATCCATTTAAAGTGCTATCATGTAGACAAGAACTACGGAGGGTAAACACAGGAAGAAGGGTCAAGATTCAATGATTACCAGCTTTCTTCTCCTTTATTTTCACTTTTTAGATTAAATAATAATTTTCTCCATTAGTATTATTATCATTTTATTACTGGGTGCTCTTAAAAAGTTAGGAACACTGTCATTAGTTTTCATTTTGGTTATAAAAACAAAAACTGTAAAAAATTATTTTATTTTATTTTTTTTAAAGCTTCCCTTTCTCTTTGCTTGCTGCAAGTCTTCCTTCTCTGCCATTCAGGGGCTGCTTGGCTAACATTTAGAATATAATCTCATAACCCTGAAAGGAACATTTGGAATCGTTGAGTTCAGCCCTGCCACGTCAGAAATAAGAAAAGTGAAGCTTAGAGAAATGAAGACACTTGGGTGAGGTTACATATATTCCTACTCTTAGACCCAGGAGAGCAAAGAGAGCTGAGTCTTAGATTCTTAAACACTCGTGTTCTCATCCTGGATATGATTTTTTATTGCTACTTTAGTTTCCATTTCTGAAAAACAAAGACCATGATACCTACCAGGGGTATTGAAAGTGAGATAATCTCTATAAAGTTCCCAGTAGATAGATATCTAGTTCTACTGTAAAAGAAATACAAGTGATTGATTGTATTTATTTTCTCACAGTTCAGGAGGCTAGAAGTTTGAATTCATGGCATGTCCTGAGAGGGTTGTCCTACTTTGTTTATTTTGGCTTCTAGTAGCCATCCCTGGAGATCCTTGGCTCTTAGAGTCTTTGCCTCCATCATCAGGTAGTGTCTGTCTTCCCCCTACGTCTGCATGCATGTTTCTGTGTCTACATTGGTATGACCACAACTGATTGATCATTACGTTATATTGCATTATGAAAGATGGTTTCATTATATTCCAACACAAGATTGTGGGGACACAATTCAATCCACAATGGTTTCCAATAAATGTTGACTTTCCTTTTTTATCCATTCCTCAGGACATCGTGTTGTCACAGGTGCTGTGGCTTTATTTTCAATATGACAGCAGGATTCATTTTGTCTGGCTTTCCCAGAACCAGGAACCATGTCTCAGTTTGCTGATGACATTCCTAGTTTATGCCTGTTGCCCCATTTTAATTGTTAATAGCACCCTGTTTTTTCTCTCAAAAGAGTCCCAGTGTGAATGCTTAGTCATAGGCTCATCCTGCTAGAACTTTCTCAGAGTCTTCCTCAGGGCATCTTTCAGTTCTTTGTTCCTCATACTATAGATCAACGGGTTTAAAATAGGGGTGATGAAAGTGTAGACCACGGACACCATGCGGCCCATCTCAGGAGAGTAGCTGGAACTCGGGGACAAGTATATAAAGCTGGTGCAGCCGTATTGTAGAAGGACCACCATGAGGTGAGAGGAGCAGGTGGAGAAGGCTCGCTGGCGTCCCTCAGCTGACTGGATCCGTACAATGGCCGCCACAATGAAGGTATAAGAGATGGAAATAAGTGAGAGGGGGATACTGAGGACGATGAAGCTGATGATGTACAGGGCAGTCTCGTGAACGTGTGTGTCTGCACAAGCCAGGCGCATGACTGCAGGCAGGTCGCAGTAGAAGTGGTAGATCTCGTTGTTGTTGCAGAAGGGGAGGTGGAAGATTAAAACGGTCAACGGCAGTGACAGCAGGCAGCCCAGCACCAGCGAGCCAGCCACCAGCTCCGCACACAAGGGCCAGCTCGTGATGAGGGCGTATCTCAGAGGGTAACAGATCGCTATAAACCGATCACAAGCCATGACTGCGAGCAGGACACAGTCAGCAGCACCCAAGAAGACAAAGAAAAACATCTGGGTGCCACATCCAGTGACGGAAACGGAAGTTTTGCCCATCGTCAGAAGGTTGGCTAAAGCCAGTGGCGCAATAGCAGATGTATAGAAGATTTCCAGAACTGCCAAATTAGCCAAGAAAAAGTACATGGGAGTGTGGAGGGCGTGGTTGAGCTGGACAGTGACTGCGATGGTAGCATTTCCAGTGACGCTGGTCACGTACATCACCAGGAAGGCCACAAAAATCACCACCTGTACCTCAGGGCGAGTTGAGAATGGACGGAAGAAGAACTGTATCTTTGAAGGTTTATTTATTCCTTCCATAAGTAGTGTGTTGGACCTGCTGATAGGAAAGACGATATGAGCCTGTAGGCATCTCTCATCAATGAGATACTTTCCCAAGCCCTCCATTTCAGTGCCCGTTTCTGAGGTAGTCCATACTTATGGGCATACTTTCATTTTTATTTTATTATTATTATTTTCTAAGATGTATTAAAAACTCACATACACAATTAAGTCTTAAATGTGCTTCCTGATAGCTTATGCATGTTACAACTCAGGGGCTACCTCTATGCAATTAGAAATCACTCACATTTTGAAATAATGGCAATTCCTATTTCTCTGATCATGTGGTTACGAGATAATTGCTTTTCTTTTTCTGTACTTTGTCAAATAGTTCTTTTTTCTTCCTATGACAATCTATTTTTAGGAATTCTGTATATAAGAGAAACATCAACTGTTTTACTATGAAGTAAATTGTACTTTTTAGTCCCTCAATATTACCAATTTTTTAAAATTTATTTTTTAATGGTGCTCTGGGCCATAAAAATATATTTTTTTACAATGTAAAATTTGGGTGTAAATTTGCATACAAATCACAATTAAGAAAAGAAAGAAAGAAAGAAAGAAAGAAAGAAACGTGGTTAAATCCCAAAACAAAGTCAAGTTCACATTTTACAAGTAGTAGAAGAAAATTTCAGTGAATTTTTGAAATAAAAATGACATCAAAGAAAATAATAATGAATTTGACACATACTTTCATTTTTAAAGCTGATAATGTATATAATTTATAAATTTGTAACCTTCTCACCTTTGCTGTCTGTCTTCATTCTCTAGTGTTGCTATAACAGAAATACTGTAAGTGGGTGGCTTTAAGAAACAAAGGTTATTCTCTCACAGTTTAGAAGGCTTTGTTGTTATTGTTGTTATGTGCCGTGGAGTCACACCCCACTCATAGGGACCTCTCCTTGAGTTTCTGAGGCAGTATCACTATGGATGTAGATTGCCCAACCTTCCTTCCGGTTTAGAAGGCTAGAGGTCTGAAATCAGAGCACCAGCTGTCGGGGAAGGCTCTCTCTGTCCGTGTCTCTCCATGACACATGCTCCCAGGTTCCAAGTACAGGGGCCCTGGGTCCAGAAGATACACTCTGCTCACAGTTCTTCTTTATCGATGGTAGCGCATCCCTCTGTCTCTGCTTGCTCGTCTCTCCTTTAATCTCTTGGGAAATAAAACATGTTGCAGACTACATCCGAGGGAAACTACCCTTGGGTCAAATCAGGGCTGTGACAAGATTAAGGGTACTGCATCCACCCTAATCCTTTTACAACTGATTGGCTTACCACATCAAATGACATCATAGAGGATCATTACATAATTGCCAAACCACTGAAAATCATGGCCAAGGCAAGTTGACAAATATTTTTTTTGGGGGGACACAATTCAGTCCATGAAACAGCCCCTCCCCAAGTGCCAGAGACTGAGAAATCCTCAATGGTGGGAACTTTGATGATCTTTGCTTTAATACCAGGTGCAAACTTCCCACGGTGCCTGATAGCACAGAGTTTTCAAGAGACATCTGTTGAATAATTACTAAGTTGAGTCAATTTATAGAAGTTCAAAGTTATAAAAAGTTGAGAAAGTAGGGTATCATTTCACTGGTGAAACACGAAAACTGAAACGTTAGGAAAGTCTAGGAAGATGAATGTCATGATTTAAAGGGACCCAGGAACTGGAGCCTTGAGTGGTGTCCTGAGAGTCTTCACAGAAGCCCAAGGCAGGTGCAGTTTTACACTTCTGCCTCCTGGTGGCTAAGAGTCTAGTCTCAAGATTAAGGCCACAGCCTGAGATTGATACAGTTGATACAAAATGAATTACTCAATTCAATGGGATATAGGGGTTAGAATGTCCCAGTGATGGCTTCCGTTCACGTTCTTCTCTGTAGCTACCACCTTGTTGGACTAGATAAATACACCCTACCGCCTGGGCATAAATTCACCCAATCTCCTCAAATCACTTGTATCTCAATGCAGTGGGTAGGTTTTATTGACTTCATTTCATTACAAGGTCTAGAAAACAGAAGGAAAAATCAAATGTGAGTAAATATCATAAAATCCAGGGTTTTTACAGATACTATAGTATTCAAGAAATCCAGGTACTACATATGCATTCATCGTATTATTGTCTTTTTGCATCTACATAGTAGCACTTAAAGAAACCTGGGGAAAAAAGACATCTGGTCTAATTGCCAAATTTGTTCAGAAAAGAAAGGCATGCTTGTTAGTTTTGCTAGTTACTAATGACAAGGTAAGGATCTCTGGTGGCACAAACAGGTAAATGATCGCTGCTAACTGAAAGGCTGGCTGTTCAAACCCACCAAGCGGCTTTAGGAGAAAGACCTGGCCATCTGCTCTTGAAAGATTACAGCCCAGAAAACACTATGGGGCAGTTCTAGTCTGTCACGTGGGGTTGCTATGAGTTGTAATCGATTAGATGGAACACAAAAACAATGACAAGATAAATATGTAAGTTACATTCTATCTGGAGGCTGTATTAACTTTACAATATATGAGGTTTTTTTTTTTTTTTTGTTATTGCAGGCAGGAAATCAGCCTGACGAAATTTTTAGAAGATATGATGCCAAAATTTTGAACCAAATGTTGGACATCACGCAAACAAATCTGCCTCCTTTGCTGATTTTGTTCTTTCTGTAGATGTGGAAGGATGGGAGTGGTTATTTAGATCCATGGATGCTTCCTAAGATGGACGAGTGTATTCTAGAATCTAGGGGGTACAAAGTTTGTCCTGGGAAAAGGTAAATCACAGAATCAATGTGGCAGAGCATTTTTTAAGGGTTAATTTTAACTTAAAATTTTTTTGAAAATAATTTCATATCTAAACAAATAGGGAGCCAATATGAGGAAGACTTGGATGATTTTTTTTTGGATAAAAACATATGATATCAGCCCATCAGTGGAAGAGTGGATGACCAAACTATGGTACATATACATAATGGAATACTATGCAGCACTGAAGAATAATGTAGAATTTGCAAAACAGCACATAATATGGATGAACTTGGACATTATGCTGAGTAAAATAAGTCAATCACAGAAGGACAAATATAGTATTAGTTCATTGTTGTGGAGGGTCAAGGAAAGGTTTATATATGGAGGGAAACTTTCTTTGTTGGTTGCCAGGGATGGGAGGGTAGGGGAGGGAACACTGCAAAATAAATAAAACAACAACAACAACAACAAAAACACATATGATATCAGAGAAATTTCTTACTTGTGGCTAATCCCCAAGTCCTCAGGAATATTGATTATTTCTATTGCTAATTGTTATTATTGTTTTATTGCTATCAAGTCAGTGCTGGCTCAGGGTGACCCTTTGTATAACAGAATGAAACACTGTTTGGTCCAGTGTCATACTCATAGTCCTTGCTGTGTTTAAGCCCATCGTTGCAGCCACTGTCTCTCTTATTAATTAGAATGCTTAAATGAAAGTTTTAGATGTGGCGATTTAGACCATAGATTGGCTAGGAAAATACTATTCCCCAAGTTTCCAGACTTCATCATCTGAAATAGCTCCTCTGTCATTATTGCAAAGAAAATAACTACAGTAGTAGCTAGCTTCTTCTAAGATAGATATGGCCCAGAGAAACACTCTCAGGGAATAGCTAGTCTTTGGAAAGACTGTTTATCAACTCTTGAGACAATTTACTACCATGTAGTCAAGAATATGACTGCAAGCTCTTTGTTCTATATGTAATGCCTGTCTCACCTACTTTGGTCATGTTGTCAGAAGGAACCATTCCCTGGAAAAGGATATCATGCTGGGTAAAGTGGGAGGTCAACAAAAAAGGGGAAGGCCTTCAACGAGATGGATAGACACAGTGGCTGCAATGATGGACTCAGGTATAGCAAGGATTGTGAAGCTGCCACAAGACCGGGCAGTGTTTCGTTCTGCTGTGCATAGGGTCGTTATGAGTTGGAGATGACTCAACAGCACCTATAACAACAACAACAACAATGCCTGTGCAAGTTGACTAGTGGCCTCAGGAAAGTCACAGATGCCTTCAGAGTCAGAGCCCTGCCCAGTTAACTGGTTCCTCTCTTCCAAAGAGATGGCATGCCTAAGTTTACATAGGTGGGTCAGTTTTCTAATGTAATTCTTTAATGTACAAGGTACCCTAGGAGACTCGAAGAGACTGAGATGCCATCTACTTTCTGGAGGAAAAGAAACATGACTTCAGCTATTTCCCCTTATCTGGCTCTGCTTGCAACACCTTCACACCTTCTCTTGGCAGTTTCTCTCAATATAACTTATGTTGTTGTTGTTGTTACGTGCCGTCGAGTCGGCCCCGACTCATAGCGACCCCTCCTTGGGTTTCCGAGGCAGTATCACTACGAAAGTAGGATTGCCCAACCTAACTTATAGGCAACATTAAACACTGCGGGGAAGAGGTCAATGCAAGGAACTTCAGGTTACCAGTAACTGCAAAGAAAAGGGAAAATTGGAGTGGCGTTTCACATAGTCATTAACACTGTCTCTTTGGTATTGTAACAACATGTTAGGGGAATGCATGTATAAATAAAGGAGCTCTGGTGGTGTAGTGGATAAGGCATTTGACTGCTAACTGGAAGGTCAGCGGTTCAAACCTACCAGCTGCTCCAGGAAGGGAAGACAGGGCAATCTACTCCCATAAAGATTTATAGTCTCAGAAACCCAATGGGGGTTGCTATGAGTTGGAAACAACTCGATAGCAGTGTTTGGTGTTTTATTTTTATTTTTTTTGGTTTTTATGTATAAGTAAAGCATATAAATTTGAAATACATAAGAATATGTCTAAGAAGGAAGCTATGTTGGAATTAGATGATGTGAGCTCAAGTTCCAGCTTTGCTGCTAATAAGCTTTGTGATTTTGGGCAGTCACGTGCCCTCTCTAAGACCCTATTTGGTCAAATTAACCCCTTGCAACTTTACAAGGTTGTTGTGGGGTGCCGGTGAAACAATGTTTACAAAAGAACCAGTAGACTTCCTGG